AACGTTTTGTGTATGGAAATAAACCAGGAGTCGATATTTGCATAAATTTTACTCACAGATTTAATCTTAAGGTACCTATGTACATAGATTATACGCAGGAACTGATTCTATAATCATTTCTGTTGTAAATGTATGAAACCAGAATAATTTTGTTTTGATTTTATCTTTACTTTGTATGAGCCTTTACAAAAGAATTACACATTGGAATACGTTGCTACCTAATGTTTATTTTTTATATAAATTTAGTTTAAATGGAAAAACGCAAAAAGGCCCCTTGCACCGCCCGGGTTTAAAGGTTGCGTATCGTGGACTCTTTGGTTATGGGCCAAACCAATTACCGGGCCTATTTATTATATGCTTTGTTTTCTAAATAAGTGAAGAGATGGAGTTCACCACTTAAATTACCCAATCATCTCGGAGTGTCACATTGTGATCGAGTGTATTGGTAGATCTAGATCCATTCTGGATATTTAAAGAAAATTGGCAAAGGAAATCTATAACACACAGAGCTCGGTGGGTAGTGTAATAATTAAAGGAATCTAAAGCGATACAAAATGTGTCGTCATAATTAAATTATACGTGCTTTAAATGCGATAAATAATGAAATGTATCTGGCAACACATACCGTGTAATTAATTTTCCGCTGATAAAGCTGTATGTTCCCAATGTTGCTAGTTACCACAACGTTGCACAATCTGTGCCAAATTTTCTTTGTCCTGTTGAATGTAACAAGTGCTTACATTGCAAATGAGAATTCAACAGAACGAGGCAAAAAACTCGCAATTAATTTATCATTTTATTGCTTTTATAGTGTTTAGTAATAAGAATTTAAAATGTTTTGCTTTTTATAATTAACTAGTTAACCTGTAAATGGTAGTACTGAGTTAAAACCCTAGTTTCCAATTGTACAGAAATCGATTCACAAAGATATATCAGCATCTTATTTAGTGATTAATGAAGTCTCTATATTTATCTTATTTTGTGCGATATCGATATTTCTGCATCGTTACGTTAAGAAACAAATACTTCCGCGAATAATTAAAAATTATAATCCCAATATTATAATTCAAATAATTATTATTATTCAAAATTGACTTCAAAATTCATCTAAAAATACATCGCTTATAGTTAATACAACATAGTGTTTAGAGTCTGGCTAATGAAAGAAGATAATTGAATTATTTGAAAACTTTCAGTTGGCAACACAGAATGTCATTGAATTTCTTAGGTTAGTATGATTTATTGACGTGATACTTCATGAAATTACTCATTTTTATTTCTATATAGCATTTAATTTCATAGAAATACAGTTACTATCAATGTAAAAAATAATAAAATAAAATCAAGTATCAAGTAAGTTTAATCCACAAAATATATCAAACTTTTAGGCATACTATAATATTTTTTTATTAATTTGCCGCGCTTTTTCGTTATCTTCTTTCATTAGCCAGACTCTAGATACAAATAGGGTCTAGGCTTAAATACCTACAGATAAAGGTTAGAATTTTATTATCTGTATAAATGTTTCCCATGGAGACAATTGAATAGCCATTCTTCTAAGGAATTTTAGTGGTGCGAGTTGTTTGTAAGAAATAAGATACTGGTATGTTACCATTGTTCTCCAGAAACCGAATTCTTGTGTCAGATTGCATTACCTTTGTCTTAAGTAGTACTTATAATAGGGAAAGTTTTATATTTGCTAGCCGATTTTGTATTTGGAACACTTTTTTATGTTCATCGAGCGACAATATTTTATTTGATACGATAAATGACGCGACGGAAGGCGACTAGATCGCAAAAGAAAATACATTTGAATCAAAGCAATGTTTCTTTGTCTTTCAACCCTTCGACAAAAGTTTCTTATTTCAAGGTAAATCCTCGATTTAACTTTGCAATTTATTGCCAAAAGCTTTTAACTCGAAATCTCTATTTCTTAGATTTCTTACTGACAGTAATTAATTGCTTCATTTTATTGAATTAGAAGATACCGTAACCGGTTCGAAATTCAAACATTAACGCAGATTTTAATTAATGTTTGTAAGCATAAACAATTTTACCTCGACTTAAGAAGCGCGACTGCTGGGGAAGTAGTGCGTTGGGACGAATAGATTTATCTATCTAAATCCGAAGAATGTTAAACATGTTTATATGGTTTTGGAGTACGCGAGAGAACCAGCACTGAAATCATTATTTATTCTCCGGGAATCGAAGATCTTTGTTTGTTTCGTGCCATAGCTTTACCCGCAAAACGTAGAAATCGTTAACCTTTCACTGTAACTTTAATAATACAGTCTTGTGTCTCGTGTCTGTTACTCGTAGAATATTCTACATGTTTATTTTTCTTGATTATATTTTGTAAGAAAATTGTATAATTATTGTAATATTTTTTTGCTATTTGTGTTTGGTTCATTTTATCAAACAAATTATATATTGAGGTCTACTAGATTTATTGCATTATTTATACAATTTTACACACAATAGTTGTTTTTACATGATCAGCATTCTTGCAATAATAAATACTTGGCGACCTTAGTCCTGTAAACTGTCACGCGTTACGACTAGAATTAAAACTAACTCATTGTTAATTCTAACATCCATAACGTTTTTTTCATATGTTAACTATATATTAAAGTTGAAATATAATATTATGTATATATTTTTCTTGTACTTAGAATAAGTCTGGTCACCCACAACATGAATGTCAAAGTGTGGGGACCAGTGTGTGTATGTTTAACTAATAAAGCTTCATTTTATAATAATTAATTTAGGTTATATATCAAACGTTTATTGATTTCAAAAATGTATTAAATTTTACATTACAAGATGTTTTTATTAAGATAATGGGCACAAATGCAACTGCAAGTTCTCAGTGTGCCCATGGTGTATGTTCAGTGTTGAAGATTTTCAGTTTTTTGAAAATAATTTAAATAAAAACGAACATACTATATTTAATTAAAGTAATTTTATTGTACTAACTACTGGAAATTAAAGGCTGTATTTTCTTTCATTTATTTTATATGCTTCATATAATTATCACAATTTCAGTGGTTAAAGATAAAATTGGTATTTGGTTATAAATTAAAACGACCAATTTGTATTCAGTAATAGTAGGATAGCGAAAGTAAATAAAAATTCAGAAATGTTTAAAAAGCTATATTTCGATTTTGAATAAAACAACTGGATCTCAAAATATTTGGGGTAGCAAACGAATTATAAACAATTTACTCGAATACATGTTCAAAAGTACTACAATATTCTAATCTTAGACTAACACCAATTAATATACATAAATATCACAGTCAAAAATTTTACAACTAAAATACTAATAAAATGGCAGTGATTACAAACAACCAGGATTTTTACCTCCTACTTGTAACTGGCGCTGAGTTCAGCAGGCTTACCATGAATAGCAATCTCCACCACTGAATCAAGATTGCTATAACCACACAATGATCTCAAATTTGATAGATGATGAATAGATAGTTATTTTGATATAAAATTCTCTAAGAATTTCGTAAGAAGAAAACACAATATTGAAAATGGATTCGCTAACAAGTTATTAGCAGTATAGTTCCCGACAAATAGGTTGGCAAGAGTATACCCGGAAGTTCTAAGAATTTTCGCTAAAAGTACACACGCTAGTACTACGCTAATGGCCAGATTATTTGTAGAGATCTATATCTGTAGAATGTGAAAACTATGGAAATCTGGAAATTGTTTTCAAATCAGTCCAGTAATTTCAAATATCCCAAAACAAACTCGCAGACCCAATGTATGGACCAAATGATTCTTTTAATTACGTCATAAATATATTAACATACATATGAAGATATTATGTATTTAATGTATAATAAATAAAGATATAGAAATATTTTTTGCAGCATTTTACGAATGCACACTTGTTTGCATTTTAGGTTGACGGCGCGTTCCATAAATGTCAAGCGAAATTCAGGTCACCTAAATATTTCCTAGAACCAGCGCTAGTTACTGTTTAATATTACTAATGATGACACTTGCGGCCGCTATCCTCTAACCTTATAATCACCCCCTTATTCATAAAAACTAAATCAGCTCCTTTAAAGACAAGCAGACTTTTGTCTCTTTCAGTCAAATTCTCTTTACACTGTGATGAAAAGAGACAGACCACTAATAAGTTAAATCGCTGCAATAAGACTGTCTTTTTTTATGAACAAAGGCATAATAGGAAGTTTAACGTATTGTGAATTGATTAGACGAAGGAGACCGCAATTCCCCTTAATAACTAGTCTATACAGGATGACTAGACTTAGGAATTAGTTATAATATATGATTTTCTACAAGCATCTACTATAGTATGTATATCATGGGTAATCACTAAAACCTCTAAAAGTTAAAGGCCGATTAATAAAGGATATTTTCTACTCCCTTTCATAGTTGCGTAAATTATATTTCTAATAAACAGCTGTTGGGTCATATACGCTCATGACCTTTGAGAGGTGAACGACCCCTACTTTTCATTTTTAAACGTAATTTTATAAAATGGATACAACAAGTTTATAACAGTGTAATGTACTTTTAAAAATAATAGTGATGAATTGTCTACGATCTACATAGTGTATCAGATACATAATTCGTATATATACAGACAGAAAAAATGAAAAAAAAAACAATAGAAACAAAACAATTGTTTGAAACGCGTATGCGTCAAAGGATCCGAACAAAAAACCATGAAAATTGTTTTGACTACAAATAAATGATATTAATATTTAATGGATACATTATGGAAAAAAATAAAAATTTGATAAGTTGCAATTTTAAATGAGTTAAGTATGTTAAAGAAGAATTTAGCAAGTTTGTATATTTATAAAAATGCAAAGGCGATTCGTATTCAGTTGTATAGGCTGATACAGTTCCAAGGAAATTCCATTGTCTCTGATTAAAATGTACACTTATTACTTATATCTACAAATTCAAAATGATATAAATTATTGCTTCGTTTCACCTAGTCTACCTCACAACGTTTAGGGCAATTTCAGCTGTCCCTTATTTTCTGGACTCTGTAAACAATATATTAAATTTCATTTAAGTTCGTTATGAACTCTACAATAATGGATATTTATTTTATTTTCAAACTTGTATAACTTAACATTTGGAACATGGTACCTATGTAAAATTTCGACCTGAATTCTAGTGATTTAATGTTTACTAGGAGCGGTCCTGCGTTCGAACCTCGGTTATACACTGGATATTCCTATTCACCTTATGCGCATTGAATACTTTCGCAAACGGCGAAGGAAATCATCATGACTTCAATCACAATTTGACGGCGCATATCGGGCATAAAAATCTGATCAGGAAATAGATACAGCGATCTGTGAAGGTTCAGGAGAATGCTACTGAATTATTATTGAGTAAAATCGCCATAAAAATGATTTTAATAAATGCAAATAATTTCTCGGACAGAGATGAATGGTACAACAGAGACATCACAAAATCATTGTTTACCTCATACGGTGGCGGCGGCAGTATATCACACAGATTTATTTGACAGCCCTGTTCAGAGCGGCCGGTCGAGTGCCTCTGTATGGGAATTTTGAAACTATTCTCTCGTCCGAGCCAATGCCACTGCGGGTAGTCGTACTCTAAATCATTCGGGCAAACTTTGCTTTTGTCCTGGCGGCTTCGAGAGCCTGATCTGTTCGTATCCTCTTCTTCCTTATTGAATTCCTTGTATTCTCTAAAGTCTCTATAGTTTGTGGAACGGCTGGATGAGCTGTGGCATGTGGAACATTCGTTAGAGTACTGAATACTTCCGTTGCACGAACGAACTATGCTATTGTGTGATCGTCTTTCTGGACAGTTGACATCTCCGCTGTCGTTGCTGTCCTGCTGGAGATATTGAAACGTTTCAAATGTATTTAAAATAAATATATATTTAGACTTTAATGTATTTCAGATACATTTGATTTTAACAAATTTCAAATAATAAAAAATATAAATGTTTTTACATTATAAAACCATAGAAAAATACTGAGATACCTCGGCGATGGCTAGAAATAGCCTAAAAAAGATAAAAGTCATACCCAATTAAAGTAGTTAAGATATAATCACGTATGTATCATGCCAATTAATGTATATTTACGTTCACTTATCCTTATCCGGAATAATTGTCCTTAATTCAATACAGAATCTGGAAGTGTAACTCAATACTTTACAAGACCTTTCAAAATAAATATATTTAGTAGACATTACGGAGGACCAAATGTATATAAAAGCCAAATGTTTACCCTAAATATAATGAATGTATGTACGAGTAAAACTACGAGTGAATAAATCAGTATCACTTTAACTTAGTTATTAGTTGTAAATCCGTTATGTCAAATCACAGTCGAATAACATTACAAATCCTATGTGAAAATACTTGAGTTACACGCGAAAGGGTCTTATCTAAGATCAACAAATGTATTCCCAAGCTTATCTCACAAACCTTGAAATTGAGTTCTGTGTAAATAGCACTCGAGGCGTAGGGCTCCGGGCGTTTGATTCTGTCCACACTCGATGTGTCTAGTCCTTGAATAGAGTTCTGTGGCAGACAGTATTCCGGTTCCACGTTTAAGATGCTTGATTGGCCAGCTATAAGGGAATTGACGATTAGATCTATATTTATTACAGAGAAGAAATAATTTGACAGTTCTTGTTAACAATAATTTATATTATTTTGATTCAGATTTTTTTTTGTTTCCTCTCTTTTCTGAATTTGTAATTCAGAAAAGAGAGTGCGACTACATGAATTACAATCTAGCCTATACAATAATTATACAACAATAATATTATGTTGACTTAATTTTTTCCAAAACTAGTGAAGACTTAAATTAAGGTTATGTTCATTACCAGCTCTTGTTCTATAATGTGTGGACACTACGTTCGTGTGTAAAAATTTGTTTGATAATTAATATATCAAAGCAATGAGAGTTTTAACAAAAGTATCACAAATGCTGATGAGATTAGTGTTCTAATTGAAACAGCATTGTAAGACTGATGAAGGTCCTATCGAAAGGAAACTTAGTCTTGAAGTAGAAATATTATTATTTGTGTCATAAAAGAAGTTGCGAACCGCTCCTAGTATTTGAGAACGAATTCAAGTTTAATAATATGAAGTCGAAATATTAAAAATAGTTGCGTATCTATTTGTTTCGTTTAAGAAAATAATCTGTCAAACTACTAACTATATTCAACATAATTGATTGTTATTTGTCACAATAGAAAACTACTTTAGACTAGCAAGTATTTTAATTTTGAATATAGAACGTCCAAAAATTAAAAACTATTGCATTTTTTTTTTCTTTTAAATTAAAAAATCGAAAAGAAAAATATACGGCTTCACATTGAGATATTACGTCTTGCTAGTTCACGTATCTATGGTTTCTTTGAGTTCAATTAATAGCTGCGATTAAAACAGACAAATGGGATCATTTGCCTCATGTTTATTCATAAAAAATTATCGACAATAACACGTTGAAGTATAAATAATGCTGAATGTTGATTAATACAATTTAATCTTACGTAAATATTTAATGAGATTATTAATCAAGACTTCTTACTCATTGAAATTTAAATAATGTCGTCATACACATATTAATACACCATATTATTGCAATTCAATGTATGTTTTATTAGGACAATGGCAATATATTAGGCATAGAAACATTTACTATATGAGTTTTTTAAAAGTCCATGAATTCGAAATTTCCTTCGAAATTAAAGTTCCAATTTATTAATATCAATAATATTTTGGCACCGACGCAACGAGGGATCTTATAAGTTTGACGTCTTTATGTCTGCGATATATTGTAACTTTAAAACGATCCAATCGTTTAAAAGTTGGATGTTGTTTGCTAGAGAGATCGAAATGATTCTTACAATTTAAGAAGATTATCAGATCTAAGAATGATTTTCTAAAAAAATAAATTATAAGTAAATTCGGCCATTTTACCATTTAAGTTGCACGCGTGTTAAACTACTATATTTCTTTCAATATATTTTTCGATTGACCAGTCCCACGAGCAACCTTAGGGCTTTAATAATAACCTAATTAAATACACATCTAAGACTTTATTTATACGAATCTGATAACTTTATTAATGAACAAATGAGTAATGTAAAACAAAGCGTCATTATAACTCACACTGAAGCAGGCTCTGATGACAGCTGTTGACGTCAAGCGAGGGGTCAGGAAATACAGGACGGTCTCTCAGCCAGATCGTGTCCTTATTCAATAAACACTGTTGTGCTGTTACTATCGGTTGGCCTGTGGGCAATGATTCAATGCCATACATACAATAAATATGAACCCGCGGACGGAAGACAAACACACACATGCTTAGGTGAAGCGTAAGAGTATGCTGCAATAGATTCTATGTGCGAACCTTTACACTTGCCGATGAAGTTATAAACATCGTAACGAAACTAGCCTCTTACGCCTTTAGTACACCTACGCAATCGCATCCGGCAGCGAAAGACAAAAAACTGACGTTGTTGGCAACGTTTAGCCTGTGTTTTGTCTCGCTCTATTATATAGCTAGATTAAATAGTAGCGTCCTCTATCGGTATTGTTTTGCCAGTAACTGCGACAATGGCTAAGTAATACATAGACGCAGCGTTTCGCTTGCGGAGTTTCGCATCGCAATGCGTCACCACGCGTTCTGTCAGTGAGGACAGAATTTCGCACAATGGAAGCCGAAAATATTGAATTATTATTAAATTTGATTAGAAATTATCCCGGATTATATTTAGTTGGGCATGTTAATTACAAAAATGCATACAAAAAAGAGGTGGCATGGAGGAAAATTCAAGAAAAGACGGGATACGATGGTAAGAAATAAAGCTTCAATTTTGACATTTTGTTGCGAACAACTTGCAGTGTACCTAACGTTCCTCAGATATTTTTGCTACCAGCAATTATTTCGCAAAGATTCGCAGCCGCATAAGAACGCGTGGTGTACCAAAAGAGTTTATGAAACAAAATTATAAGATTTTTTCAGAGTTAAAAAATCATTGACTTGGCTAGAAAGTAACGTAAGACATAGTCTTAAGTTTTCCTATTTTAAATTTAAATTTGTCATTATATAAACATCTATATTATTATTTTTCTGAATGAGATAAACATAACAGTATATAAATTAAGAACTAAAAAGAGATTCATCTCATGAATAGTTTTCTTCTGACGTAAGAAATTAAAAAGTCAATAGTTTGATAATTTCCAACAAGCTTAACCTCTTTACTATGTTAAATACGCTTAGTTACTTTCTTATTCATTAAAATTGTAATATCGGTACTTCTATAATAATTTAAACCCTTTAAATTAAGGGGTTTCCATCCCAAAAAAATGTTTTTATTTTTACAAAAACAATTTTAATTATTGTTGTTTTGTTATCTTCTTGCACTCTAGCTCCCTTAGTTTTTTTTGTTCTTTTCTTTTTTAGAAGGGTTTCTACGATCAACCCCTATTTTTTTATTATTGATAGTTATTTTCATTGAACTAAATAAATGTTTCCAAGAAATAATATACATGGCAAATAATATATATACATAGCAAAACAACGTTTGCCGGGTCAGCTAGTAGACTATAAAATATTGAGCTTTGAATATAGAAGTTTAAACAATCATTTCGGTACTTGTGACTTATTAGATCATAGCTTTATTAAGTGCTCACTATCGCTGACCCAGGGAGCAATGACTCTATAATATGTCAGCTAGTCAGTTGAAGTTTAGTTCACTCGAAGTTCAGAGTTAACTAACTGATTGAAATGTTATGCTAAGGTTGAGATCGTGACCTCAAATAACTTCTATTATAAACTATTTGTTATACAAACATAAAATATAAATGGCATTTTTATATTGGAATTTATCGATCCTTTATTTATTACGGCTTTAGATATTACGAATTTATTTAAGGTAAAAAATTGTTATATTACATGCCTAGAGTTACGCGTGCAATTGAATTAGCTCGTCTTCTACGAAACAGATATCTAAGATTAAAATATTTATTCGAGTGATTAAACAATTTAAGCTTCAAGCTAAGGTGGACATGAAGATTTTACCTAAAATCTTTTCTCATATGTACAAGCTTATTTATATTATTTAGTTATTATTATATTTATTTAGTTATCAAGTTTACGACATCATACATAGTACTAAATCTACTGATTATTTTACAAAATCTTCCATCTAAAATGTATGACAATTAAAGTAAACATAAGTTTTACAAAAAAATAGAAATTAAAAAAAAACAATTAAACCATATACAAGATAAGATAAGCACACCATAAAATAAAATAAAATTACTAGAAATTTGTTGGTACTTAAAGCAGAAAAAAAAGAAAAAATCATCAGCAAAACAGCGAATCAGGTTCGAGATAGGCACCCCACAATGCTTTCTCTAAAATCGATCAGCCCACTACCGAATATATCCAGCTCCGGATAAGCTATGTTCAATCCGTTAAAATCGCGAAGAATTCGAACAAGAGGTGCCTGAACCTAGCTTAAAACATCATATAAGTTAAATTACAAATGATAAAGTCAATTAAACGATATTTTTTGTTATTTATAAGAGTTTTTATTCGCTTACCAGTAGCCTTCTTCCTTTGTATGCCATTTCGCCGTCTGATGTAGTAAATGCTGACAAGTCCGATAACAATCACAGAGAATAATGTTAGGCCGAGCGCCAGCAACCACGTTTCGTGAAATATGTGCGGAATCGAAGAATCGTGAGGTGGTTCGGTCCTAAAATAAATTTATTGCTTCATTCGGGGATTACACAATTCTTTGAGAAGCCAATGAAGCAAGCATTTATTATTTTATTGTTCCATGTTACCAATGTTATGATTATTCCTTAATAATTACAGGTTGTATATTACAGGAGCTAATAATTCAACCCTTCAACTTAGAATAGGTATTCGTCATTTTGCTTGAATTAAATAAAAAATACAGTCAAACCCGTTTACGACGACATCGTTTAGAACATACCGGTTATATTGACCAAAACCAAAGGTCGCGGCTGAATTCTATTGTATTAGGTACTTAATTATGTTTTTACGACCAAATATGAGTCCCTTCGATGTCGTTATAACAGATTTTGATCGTATACCTATACGAATAATGTCAAAACTTAACGGTGATCTTAACTAAAGATTTCTCGCCCAATAGCAATGACCAATGCTCATTTATGGCGCCAGCGACGTAAGTAATATTAATAAAAGTTCATATAACGTCGCTTATATGACAAGTAATTTATTAGGAAACAAAAAGATAATTTCAAGTATATATATCACAAATAAACTTTACTTACTGAACATAATGCCTCTGCGACTGTGTGGGCAACATATGTATCTGCGCGGGCGCACTAAACGGCCCGTGACCGCGTTTAGTGACAGCCGCCGCGCGCGCAATATACCGCCCTCCCGTACGTAACGAGCTCGCCGCAGCGGCCCGAGTTCGAGCGCCTAAAGACATTTGACCCACGACACGACCGTTTGTGCCTCCACCGACGCGGATTTCGATCTGGGGATATGTGATCTTTAGTGACCTTGAACCTTGGGTCATATCTAAGATATTAATGAGTTGTGAGATATTTAAATATAGCGTATAGTAATATTGCTTAAATATCTACAAATAGATGAACATATATAGTTATATATTCGCCCCTTTTCCCAAAGGGGTAGGCAGAGACCACAGATCTCCACTTGCTAGGGTTCTAACATACAACTCTCTCGTCATTCACTTTCATTCGCATTCACCATGCATGCTCATCGGTTATGGGAAATTAGATAATGAACATGTATGCTAATAATATTGATAAAATCGTAAAGAGCTAATTAATTTGTTACTTTATTTTTTTTCACAAAATCAATAGAAACAAAAATAGAAGTCGTTCAAAGCTTTTATTTAATATGAGTAGTATAAACGAACAGATTTCTTAGGTCTTTTTCATCTCAAAAAAATCTTATCATGATAAGATTATTATTTTTGTAAGTAACGACTTTACCTTTTAAAGTTTCATACAACATTAAAGATGTTCGTTTACTTATTAGCGTCAGACAAAAATTCAACGACACTCTGATGTTACAATGGATAGATTTTATAGCTCAAGTATACAATTAAATGCTTTATGCTGTACTTACTTCATTTATGATATCAATAAAACTAATTTCACAACCATTCAAACAAAAAAAAGCCTAATAATAAAGCATTTTGTTATAACACAGATTTTTTTATACAATAGTCATACGAGACTACGATACGCCCATCGCAGCCCACGGACACGTTGCCGACCTTTAAGGCAGAAGTATGCTTTTTAAACAATTGGAGGTGGTACCTCCCAGGGGACCCAATGGAATCGTTTCCAGAGTTGGTTAAGCATGAGTTTTAGAGTAGATTTAAAACTTATGTTTGAAATACTGTTTCGTTATTTTAGTTCGACAATAATCTTGATACATACAATGTTGAGTATCAAGTATCAACATTCAATAGTGTACAATTTTTGTGAATAAATGACGAGTCGCAAATAATAATATTAGCCGGTTTTCTATAATCTATAAAGAAAACAAACATATCGTGATAAACAGTAATCAACAATTTGCATAGTCATAAAAAAGCAATTATTGAAAAAAACTCACCATATAACCCGTCAGTTCTCCGTTCCACGTGTTCGCAGGTGGTGGTTCCCATCGTATCCATGCCGACGTGGCGTTTATGACCCCCGCTGTCACACTTAGGGGAGGGAACGATGGCACTAAAACAATTATTTACGCCCATTAATTTGTTTAAAACCTTTTTGTTTTATAAACAATTTATCAAAATTAATTGGTTGTTAATTGTTATATATTTAGTTTGTATCATTGATTACTTTTATTTTCCAATAATGACATATCCATATTTTTTAGTTTTGTCTTAAGAACTAGGTAAGTATAAAAACAATATCTATAGATAAAAAAGACCTCATCATTGTTAATAATAGCATATATATATTTTTTTTTAATCTTTTTAGTTATTATTATTATTAATTTTATAGTTTTTTTTTGTTTTGTTTTGTTTTATTTTATTTTGTGGTTGTTTGTTTAATTCTTTCCTTTGATAGATTTCTTATGTTCTAATGTAATTGATGTGAATGTGTATGTGTAAATGAGCTCGCTTTAATCGATTACTCGATCACTAATTTCATCGATTTGACTCACTAAAACATAGTCTTGAAAGATTTGCATTAGGCCATGAACTAGAGAAACTTACCATCTTCATTAGTGACACCCGTCATGGAGTTCGACGGCTTCCCCAACAGCATCTTGTAAAATGGCATCAAGAATACGTCATACTGCATATACGCCTTCAAGCCAGACAGTATGTAAGACGAGGATCCACTATTATCCACATGTAGGAGAGACCCATTCGAACACGTCTCCACTTGTGGAATAACATCTTCAGAACTATTCCGCCAGTTCATACTCGTTCCATTATACCAAATCTTCACGCCCTCTAAATACTCATTATAATCCGTTAACACCTAAAACAAGATAACTTTGAGACTCAAGTTAATTATTGCATTACTTGAAGTAACGTAAACACTCACATCCCACACGACTTTAAGCGAAGTCGACGACAAAGTTTCCACCCTCTTTAATACCAGAACATTCTGTTGCAGGTATTTCCGTGCTTGAACGAACTCGTATTCCGTCATACGGATTTTGTGTTCGTAATTTATCCCAAACTCATCATCGTTCTTTAACCCTTTTCTTAGCACGTTCAAATGAGCCTCTTGCATCACGCTCCCAGCCGAATTGACCGCGACGCAAATAACTCTTCCGCTGTGCTCAACATTCACCCCATCCAAATACAGTAAACTCGAATTGCTCTTTGTACATTCCGGAAACAATAGATTGTCCTCGATTCCCTCTAAAATCCAGAAGGTCGTAGGAGTCGGTAACCCTTTTGCCTCACAGGGAATTGACACAACGTCACCCTCCCATGCGGTTAAATTGGATGGTATCTGTGTGAAGTGCGGCAACGCTAAAACAGATGGCCGTATTGAAATAGCCCTTACAGATATCAGATGTAGAGCAATAAATCGGAGAATGCTCACAGTATACGGTTAGTGTGGCGCTGGCAGTGCTAGTTCCAGTGTGGCTATCGGCACGGCAGGAATAGACGCCCGCGTCGGATGCGGACACCTGTTCTAACCGTAATAGTCCACGGATTATAGATGCGTGAGACGGCAAAACCCCATCTTCCTTAACCCATGTTATTTTTACGCTTGTATCGTAACTCTGAAATAACAAATGAAGATCTATGCTATTTAAGATCAAATCTATCGCCCTCCCGCAAGTTAAACAAATATTTCCTTTGCTGCAAAGGGAAAACATTTAAGGAATGTAACGCGAGATATGTAATATTTATAATGAACTTCATAATGCGTACAATTATATAAAAGATTCATTTGTTCAATTTAATCAGATCAATGTAATTTGTAAACCAATTTCACAGATGTATTAAATGCAAATTAACAAAACCAATGAAGCATGAACGCAAATTTTATATACCCAATTTGTAAGGGTGATTAACATTAATTCTATTTTAGCCAATTTCGGTTGGTTTCACACGTGGTATTTACCTGGCAATTAAATTCAACGTTTTGTCCAACTAACGCTGTGATGTTGGTGGGTTTTGTGACGAAGTGCGGTCGTCTTAGTACGATTAGTGCAGCTGCCCTTGACTGTCTTTCTCCAGCGATATTTGATCCCACACATCTGAACACTCCACTATCAATTGGTAATGTTTCTAATATTTTTAAACTTCCAGTCTCAGTTATTGTTACCCTAAAAATTTATACTACGTCAACTCCATACATCTGAATAACCAGAGCTGATTATGCAAGCTTAATGTACAAATGATTACATAATTAAAGTGTCACACGCAATTTTATATCTACGGTGTACTGTTTTTATTTAATTCTACGTATAAATAATCCAATAAATTCAATATAATACGAGACATAATTGGAGCTGTAAGTAGTAATGGTTTCCTGATTTAAAAATAAGTGTATCATTACTAAAACTTTCGTTTATCATTTATAACGTTAGTAAAGCGTGTTTGGAAGCCAATTAGGTCAGTGGAGTTCGTTATAAGTACAAAATCATCTTTGTCAATAGTTTGGTATAATGTATTCAAGTTAATGTGCAATATTGTAAAATAAAATTAAAAAGGCGTTTGACTATTCAAAGGTCAAGCCTAGAAAGTGTAAATTAAATTTTGAATTGGATATTCAAATGTTTGCACGCGTTACAATTATATGAATTTTGTCGGGATAGAATAAGAAATAGAATTTAATGTATAGATATTAGAATTGATAATATACTAGCTGACCCGGCAAACGTTGTTTTTTCATTTTTTTAGTTGAATAAAAATAACTATCTATTATAATAAAAATAGGGGTTGATCGTAGAGTGATCTTAGTTGAAAATTAAGGGTTGTATGTAGTTTTATATGCTTTATCATAAAAAAATAAAAACAAAAAGTTTTGTCTAAAAAAAAAAAAAAAAATTTTTGGGTGGACCCTTATCACTTAAGGGTTTGAAAGATAGATGGTAACCTTTTCTCAGACTTATTGAATATGCATAAAAAATTTCAGAAGAATCGGTCGAGCCGTTTCGGTGGAGTATGGGAACGAACATTGTGACACGAGAATTTTATATATATAGAGATATTCTAGATTACACACACAATATATAATAAGAACTCATAAGTATTTTCTGTATTAAATCTTTAACTCTAATAAGAACTACGTCCTATACCTTCCATTAACTTCAACATCATAACGTTGTCCATCCTTCATCCAGTGTACTGATGCATCGGGCACTCCTCTGGGTGGTACACATTCTAATACAGCAGGCTCTCCAGCCGCGACCTGAACATCTCTTGGCTCTGCTCTAAATTCATCACGTAACACTAAAATTTAAAAATCGAATTAATCTATTGTATCCAGAGAGTCAACCACGATCTAAGGCATAAAGTCTCCATAATTAGCCTCGCTAAAAGGGGAATCACAATAATAGTAATATTAAATACGGTCAGATTAACATGCCAATTAGTAGGCTAGACAATAGTCAATAAGAAAAAATGTGCTCGCTTGGCTTGGCTCTCTCAACATTTGAATTAACTGCAGTGCTAGTGGATACTGTAACATTGAGTTTGTATCACACATGAAAATAACACTAGTACATGGTTGCAATGGACAGTGAGCGACCAAAAAAATGGAATGGTCGCAGTTTTTTATGGATGACGGATGTCACACAAAAATAAACGAGACATTCTAACATTCGCTTCGCTTTGGTTTAGGCCAGGATATTCGACATCCATTTTTATTGGCGAGTAAGTTTATTAAGCATCAAATTGTTTAATTTTTTACACAACGTACATACTTTCTTAAATCATACGAAATTTGAAATATTCGTCATGATCGTAGAACAATGTCGGATTTGAAGAAAATCCAAAATCCAGTTTTTATCATTTTTGGATACTACATTAACTAAATATTACGGCTACATTAAAAAAAACTTCCATGTGTTTTAAATTTCAAATTAATCAGTCGGTAAAGTGACGGATTTGATAGAAACATGTGATTTTTCTAGAAAACTGTGTAATTAATAATAAACAAAAAAAACTTTTTGTTTGCTTGTATGCCAATTTTCATAATCACAGAATATGAATTAAAATAGTTACCTATAACAAAAACTAACATGATTATAATTATTATTTTAAAATGGCTGCCCTGTAAAGTTTACTATTTGTCAGATCCGTCACTATTCTACGACTATGACAATTATTAATAGTATTTGTATACGAAAAAAATAGTTTTGCGATTTTTCACAATACTTACTGGCAACATTTAAAGTGGCATTTTGACTGACAGCCTCTCCGGCAATGTTTCGTGCTACACACCAATAAACACCTTCATCGCTTTCCTTCTTCCCTCGATTAACCCTAATAAAATAACGGAATTAATTTATTCCAAAATATTAACTTCCAGTGACCACTACTGCGTAAGTTAAGATAGGATTAGTTTATTTAGTTAATACTTTTAGGAAATTATCCTATAGTTTTGTTATTTATTTTTTTAAGTCAAATGTCAATTTAGACGAACAAATATATTTTTAAATCATTTGCTTGCTTCCGTTGCGTTCCTGTTTAATCTTGAAGCACTTAAAATTGTTTTACAAAAATATTCAGATATATAGGTCTACCAGAATCTGATGGCAATTTTTTTTTTTTTTTAAATTAGCGATTTTCATATGGCAATAAAAGAAAAATTTCATCTGTCAACTGAAATTTCGAGGAATTGTTTTTGGTTTGGCTTCAAATTTCCTTTAAAAAGTGATGAAAATGTCGAAGAAACCTCTTCGATCGCAAGCAAGACATATTGTTTTCAATGTTTATCAAAGAATACTTGATCAACAAGATGCAGAACATACACAATCATCGATATTGAGCCATGTGCAAGCGTTGACTGGTTAGTAGGAATGACACGTCTTGATACTTTGGTTTATGGGATTCTTCGTGTGTATTATATTATGTACTTATACTAAATTTTGGTTTATTTCAGGGGTTTCTTATACCACAAATAAACTTGGATAGTTTTGATTTAGAATTGATCAGAAACAAGATAAATGAGTTTTACATTGTTTCTTTCTCTCAAATAGGGATCGATGAATAGCGAAAATCTTGTGAACATGTAATAAAAATTTAAAATAAGTTCATAGAACAAGATCGGTTAATTGAGATGCAGGAGGAAAGGTTTATTATAAATACTGCGTTGAAGACTTTTTATGGATGTGCAGTATTTGGAACCATTTTAAAGTTCTTAATTAATTAATAAACTCATGAACAGAGTAATTGGAGTTTTCATCTAAATTTCAAACCCCACATTCGCCACATTTTCAAAAATTATCATTGGATAAATTTTTATATATTTTGCATATATCACACACAGAATCAGCCGCTATAAGGAAAAAAAAGTATCAAAACGTTTTACTCCAATTTCCCCAGTATTGCTAGCGTCAATTTCTTTTTCCCTTTTTGCCATCAGATCCTGGTAGACCTATAGTTATGCTAACGGTACGATCAATCTTCTAATTGACAATTAGTTAGTTAAAAACTTATTCGTTTATAAATATAAAAAAAAACAAATTCCTTTATCTATCGCCACGTCAAAACAAATCAATATCTAAGAAAAAACAAGGCAGGTTTTATGCGACTGAATCAATATCTCTTATCACCATAATAAGTTAAATAAAAATACAGACTAACTATTATTGACTAAAGTATCTTAACCTCACAATGAGATATGGGGCACTTGCATAAAATACTTTTTAATTATTTTATGCAAGTAAGTGATCTTTGTATTTCAATCTGCCGATAACAATACTTGTTTTGAAAATCGATTCCACGCTCTCCGGGTAATACGCTATTTTCCATGAAGCGATAGCAATAAACCGAGGAAGTAGAACCTTATTTTAACAAATAATATGTGAATTTTTGTCTATAATTTAAAATATCTTTTGTTTTTAGAGACGAAAACGAAAAAACTTACCTAAGAAATAACAACCCATCTTCTAACATAACCCTGTGTCCATCGTCAGCTGGTGGCAAGGGAAACCCATCCTTGAACCAGTGCACGGCTGGTTTTGGCCGACCTTCAACCACACATCTTAAAGTGGCCGGTTCGCTCCGGCCTGATACTGTGTTGGATGGGTGCTCTTTGATCCGTGGTGCTCGATTTTGTGCTTTAACAAGAAACATTTATATTCATTTTAACATGTTGATTAATCGATGTATCGTAGATTTTATAATACCAGTGGCGCTACAATTGTATCTGTATCATTATTTTGTTTTTCTTTCAAATTAACAAATAGAGATAGGAGACAAATACGTGATCAACCTTCTGTACCTAACAAAGTCGTGGACTTTTTGGGTCTAAGGCATTGCAATTTCCCGATATTTTCCTTCACCGTACCAGCGAGTGACAAATGCGCACATGGCCAATTGGCACAAAGCCTGGGTTCGATCCTACGACGTCAGGGATGAGAGTCGCATGCTCAAGCCAGCCAGGCCAACACTGCTCACATGCAAATATATTAGTGTAATTACAAAAAAGTGTTATTTTATACAAAATACTTAATGTTAAAAAATACTTTGTGGATTAATTTTATTAATAAAAAGTTGATATCATTGCTTTTGTCAATTGTTTTTCGAACATAAGTATCTATATGAACAACTACGCAATTGCAAAAATTACAAACTACACAATATCACAGATACGTAACTAGAGTTAAAATAAGATATTTTTTAATTAATCCCCGCCGGTCAAGCGCACTAGCTGTCATTTATTAAAACTTGTCATGTCACGATAACCCGTACAATATACATTATCTATGACGTTTGTCTTTGTCCGCATTGTCTGTGGGGGCAATGCTCGATGTAAATAATTGAACTTTTTTATGAAAAGTCACTTTAATCTTAAAGATCTATTGATTACAATAAAAGCACATCAAGATACAGCTGTGGTCGCCATAGGCTATAATAGTAATAATCTTTATTATTTTTCTCACAAAAACTTAGTACATGTTATAAACAAGTGACAGTTATATACTTTTATAAATAATTAGTTGTCTTACTTCTATTTAGGGAAAATGCTCGTTTGTGTTAGACTGATGCCTGCTATAGGTAAGAGTACCTGTGTTACAGGTCATCATGCCCCCACCACTTCGGATCGACAGAAGGTCTTATAAAGTAGAGAAAAATTGAGTGAGAATTATCAATCATTAGCAATCATAGGTTGCAACGTAAACAAAGAAGCATTCATAGGGATACACATAAAAGGAAACCACATGGTGTATGTGTGTGTGCGTAAGTGTGTGTATGTGTGTGGGTGTGTGTGACTGTGTGTTCGTGAGTGTGTGTCTGAGGATGTATTATTAATTAATTGTTAATCTAATAAAGCTAAAACTATTATACTATAAATTATTCCCTAACATTTAAATAATGGTGAGATTCAGGAACGAGACTTAGGAACTATGACTCATGTATGTCAAAGTTCAATATATTTTTAATGTACGGGAGTCAGATTTTACTGTATGTCTCGTTTCAGAATCTTACCATATAGGAGCGGCTTGAAAATATAAAAGTATTAACCATATTTGCCTAAAAATGTCTAAGGATACTAATACATCTTCTTACTAATACAAAACTCAGTTCACATGAACTTTACGATTCAATTATTTTATTGCAATTGTTCTCTAACTTATAAATATAAAACAAAAACAAAGCGTCTTCCCCTTAATAGACTGTAAACAGTGCTAACTGACACTTTCTTACATATTAAAAATTATTATTAGTGAATTAGGTTAAGACTTAAATCACTTACTAGTCTTACATTTTCCATGATATCTCAGTGAAGAGACAATTTATTCAAAAAAGATCCCTCTGTGGATCCAAATCTCGTAAATCATAGCTGCAATTATGAATTAGCTCTGATCTCCACCAACGCCAGGTGTAAAGTATTACATGAGCGCAAATGTTTTTTGGAATATACGTATTTGCACATATTTCACTATGAAATTTAGAGATTTATATACATCTATCGATATAGTGTCGAAAACTTGGAATCCTTACCATACAAATCGCAATTTAACGCCTTATTATTTTATATATATCTCATAGTCGGTCACTCTTGTTCCCTTTGCATGACATCCAACTTTTTCAATTCATCATTCACCGTCACTACCATACTACTATTGTAATATGACTGTAGCCGTATATAAGTTGAAGTTCTGTATTATACTTTTATGTGTTTGTATTCTTACGTCTAGGTCAGGAAGAAACTGCTTAAGCATTGGGCTAGCAAAATTCATGATGTCACCACGATACAGTGTTTCGCGGAACAAAAATGAAGTAAACGCCAAATGATTTTTATTTAAATAATTCGTAAAATATACAATATTTAATAAATTCGCTAATAACAGCTCTCGGCCAAGCACATTATTTTATTAATGTCATTATTTACTGGATCCATAATACCCGCCATAATTGAATAAAAACGAAATTATTCAAAAAATAGGTGTCTGTTATTTTATGTATTGAGGTATTTATATTGTAGTGTGTTTTTAATTAGAGTGAACTATTGAAATTACAGTGAAGGATCAATACCAATTTATTGTTTTCAATTCAAGTATAATCACATAATTAGATAAAATCAATTCCACGATGAGCGATTTTGGTTAGCTTGCCTGCTCTTAAGCAGTAAGACCGCTGATTCACATAAGTCTTCTTTTGTTTTATTTATTTTCTCATGTTTTGTGTAATTCTAATGTTTATATAATATATAAAACGGCTCGACGGATTATTATGAATTTTTTTATACATATTCAGTAAGTCTGAGATTTGGCTACCATCTATCTTTCGAACCCCGAAGTGGCAAGGGGTGTCCATCTCAAATTTTATTATTTTATTTTTTAGACAATTTTTTTTGGTTTTACTTTTTTATGAATAACATACAAAAATACATACAACCCATAATTTTCACTCCCACTCTACGACCAATATTTTTATTATAGTACATAGTTATTTTTATTAAACTAAAAAAATGTTTCCTAGAACGTTTGCCGGGTCAGCTAGTTGTAGTTGTATTAAGATTATAATCTGCCATTAGATTCTAAATTATATCAAAATTAGTAATTATTAACAAAGTGACCACAATTATAGTGACTAACTCCACTTATTTAAATTAGATTCTTTTTTCAATAATCCCGCAAAATTAACGTACATACAATGTTCATAACAAAAAGTGGCTTAACACAAAAAGTGGTTATCTGTTGCTCGCCACCAGTGAACTAATTAAACCGAAGTAAAAAACTCCTTTGTTTCGTTAACATCGCTTTTACCGAACATTTCGTTAATTGGCCTCAAGGTACTTTTAATTATTCAATGAACAAGTACCACCCATAGAGCAATTATTATATTGACAGGTTCTTTTATTACGAAGTGTTGCCCGTGTGGAAAATAAACCTATGGGAATGTGCAATTACGGCAAAAAAGTACATGTATAACTTGTGTCTATGCTTAGTCTGTGACAAATTCAATCCGGTATGGTCGAAAGACTATAGCCTGCGCCATGGGTGGAATAAAAAAAAAGAAATTTCAAACGCTCTTGGCAATCTAACAAAATTTGTCACTGGTTTACACTTCGAGTAAATTTAAATAAAACTTCTTTAACAAATTTATTACACTATTATTGTAACACACTTTTTACTTACTCACCTACGTAGCATTTGACAAAGATCTTAGATACGAAAATTTATTAAAGGTTTAAGCGTGGTCTAACAAACGAATTCGTCTTCCCATTCATAATATTACTCCGATAATATTATCCTAACAATAGAATTATTTCTGGCTACGCGTGGGCGAGTCTCATATATTGGTTAGAAACTTTTTATTAACAAAAATTTACGTAAAATGCTTTTTTTTACATTGGTATTTATAACCAACTCTTCTTATTTATATGCATGCATAGAGTGAATTTAAATTTATATAAAAAAATTATATCTGTATTGTAAAGCCATTTTTCATATTAAAAAAAAACACCAGACATTAATAATATTTTGTATTGTAAAGTTATTAACTAAAATATTGAGCAGATAACAGTTCTTCTACATCATCTACATCTTCTTTTTGTAAGCAAGGGAACACAAATTCTAAATACGAATATTCATTATATAATTATTTACCACTCTTTCATTAACAAAATATTTTACGTGCAAACCTTTATACCAGCTAATCTGTTTATAAAGAAACACCAACTTCTCCACAGATAAATGCAAAACTTATCTATGCATTTCTTCCACAGATACGGCGGTACAAATTAACAAAATAAAGCGTTTTTATGTGAAAATCGATACACCAGCTATAATCGTCTAATAAAGAAACACCATCTTGTCCACAGATCTCTATAGATTCAAAATCTATATATGCATTTGGTCCACAGATATATAAATGAACAAAATTTGACTTTTATATATAATATGATCAAGACTAAAGAAACTTTAACTACTCCATGGATTTCCATTAAAAAAAAATAATTCGTAATGGGTCATAGATTTCTTTTCACTCAATTCAGGGTTGACTATAAATATGACCAATTAATATGCGTTCGAGCATCGTTCAGACAGCCATTGAGAATGTAATTCGATACATGTATGTCACGTTTGGAATTAAAATCCAGTTCTATTGCTCCTTTGGTACACGACATCAATACTGAGATTACAATAACGGCAGGATGTTATATTATGGCGGAATACATATGGGATTATTTAAATAAATGTTGACTCTATTCTTTTATCTATGACTTTTTCGTTTGTTTATTCTCTATGACATGCGATGTTTTGAAGCATGGCAATACAAACTTTTAAAAAAAGATTAGAAGCATGCATGAATAACAAATATTCTATTTTTGAACGTATTTACCGTGTGACAATACTGTTTACAGAAAGATCATCAACAACATTCGCTATGCAGACGACACTGTTTTAATAGCCTCGTCAATGGATGATCTACAAATGCTTGTTAATAAAGTTCATGAAACTAGCGAAAGACACGGTCTGACTATTAATGCAGTAAAGACGAAGGTGATGGTAATTTCTCGAAACGACACTTTAGGTCCTAATTTATCCGTAGCTGGTAGAACGTTGGAACGGGTGCGGCAATATAAGTATTTGGGAACTTGAATTACAAACGAGTGGAATCCT